TGTGTGTGTGTGTGTGTGTGTACACACATATATTCTCCATTCGTTCCCCGGTAGATGCACAAAATTCGATCTGCCTCCCTCATCCGTATCGATAATCGATACTTGAATTAAAACACACCAAGCTTCGGGCATATTTGCTCAAAAAAATGAAAGCACGTGCTGTAGGGCTAAATTTTAATTTGAATCAAAAACGCACACGTTCTGTCCTGTTTTCCCGCACGCACATACTTTCGATGTAAAAGTCAATTTTTCTCTAACAAAAATTGGGATAGACATTTTTTCTAACAGTCGTTTAATTTTCAATTTTGTACATACTCGAAATCAACGTCCAAATAAAAATCCCGTTGCGATAAAGTAAAATTAAATAACTTCAAATTGAAGGCAAAATATCACATTGTATTTTTTCATTAAAGCTAATGCCATGGAATTCCTTCTTTTTAACCGCTAATTGCCTAAAAGCATTCATTTGAAATTCGAGAAAGTTCAACATATATATTATTAAAATTTAACACGTTATATATATTTAATCATTTAAAATTAATATATACACGTCGTTCTTAAAACACATTGTTGATAGATTGTTATCAATGCGAATTTGATTCATTTAATAAAATCCTTTTAAACAATTTGTTTAATTCCCTCAATACCAATTTATATATAATGACAAATATGTATGTGTGTATGTATGTGTACATGTAAAATATATATGCGCATTCATGAATAATTTGATTATATATAATCAAACTGAAATGGAGAAAAGAGAAATAATAGTAATCTATAGCCCCACAAAATTATACATATTTCGCGAATGTGACCACGGACGTGTGGCACGCGCACTTTAAATGCGTTTATTGGTATAACATGCTAAGCGTACCACGTATATATTTTCACGAATCTAACCGAGTTATCCCCCGGTACGTGACTATCGGCCGGGGTGGATTTCCGAGTGTTGTCACGATTGATTGATATGTTTCTTTCGCGGGGCACGTGCGCCGATTCCCACATCGAAAAGTGCACGCAAACTCCCGCGTGGGGTATTTATATAACACGCGATAATCCGTGAAACGTGCAATATGTATTAATAATACGTAAACCGGCGAGGATTCGGCGACACCGTCGTCCCAGAGCGGGGCGGGAAAGAATTCATCGAAGTATCTTCATGGCTCCTAAACCATCCATTTCAGTTCGCGCGTACGAATGCACGAGATATAAATTCTACAGGTGCATACGCGCGTCGCATATGGTGCATTACCCTTCAGAAGTTGTTCCGTTACCGACGTTTTTAGAATTTCGTGCTCCGGGATACGTGCCGCAGTTCTTGCGAATTGTCGTGTATGATTTGTATGCCAGACGTGTAGGACGTGTGCGCTCAGATCGGAGCGGAGGTATGTTTTGAAATGGAATAGAGGGGAAAAAAAGAAGGATATATATATAAGGGGAGTACGAGAGACGAACGTTAAACATTTTCAAGACCTACTTCCGCTCGTCAAAACAATGAAAAAGTTTGTTTATCCTCCCCAAATTATACGTGCGTCTGCGTTCAGAAAAAGCTAGTACATCATAGCGGCGGTTTATTTATCATGTTCAAAATTGTGCTCCAATTTGAACAGAAGCAGTACATACCTCAAAATAAGTAATAATAATAAAGGAAGAGTGGTAAAAAATCTGAGTTAACCTAACTTTATGAAGAAATTGGCAATCTGCAAAATCGCGGCGAACGTTTGGTTGATTACTGGCTTCGCTGCTGATGCTGTAGCGACGAGAGATCAGGTTGAAGAATTCGAACGACAAATTGGATGAGCGCGCGCGTACAAGAGATAAAAAATTTTTTTTCAAACTCTATTTTACCCATCGAAATGACGAAAAAGTTTGTTTATCTCTTCCGAATTATAGGTAAGCTTCGGCAGGCTCGAAAATTTTATTTTAAAAAAGCCAACAGGCAACTACTCTCCCTTCACATTTTTTAGTAAAATTTCTCTCAGAGAAGTGTACTCTAAAAATATGTTTTGCATATGACTTTTGAATATTTTATACCATTAAAAATGTAAAATTAAACGCATAAAGTAATTACTTCTTAATAACGTTACATGATTTTAAATTAAAAAAGAAATTGAGTTTTTCTTTATCTCGAGAAGCTGTAATGTTATTTTATTTGATAAGGCAAATAAAGCTGCGATTAAGTAAAAAACGCAATCGCGTAAAAGCAAATGGATATCGAACTAATCTCTTATCATTACAAATTCTTCTGTTTCAGGCAAAGAAGCCTCGGATACTACCGACGATATAGTCCGAATCCCTTAAATCTTATCGCAGCTCGTCAAGAACAATCACCAATAAAATATACTGTAAGAATGGCCAATCCGAATAATCGATTTAGTCGATAAAAAAATAAAGTGAGAAAAGAATATGGAAATATAAAAAAGAATAAAAGGAATTGACAAACATCTTTATCATTATTACACGACGACTAAATGAACAATACGTAATAAATCAACAGATTGATTTTTTAGAACGAAATATTTAAATACTTGATTGTTGTACATTTTTTATACCGAAAATAATCTCGCGGAAAGAACTTTTATTTTATTTCTGTTCATGTTAAGTCAGCAACTTATATATACTGCTCCGAAACAACAAATAAATAATTTAAGAATAAGGAAATATATGAATAGAAAGAAGTTTAGCGGCAATTTATTTTTTATATTCCGTGCTGTTCGTGAGAAATAAAGGATTGCCCTCAACCAGTCGGAGAAACGCGATCGAAAATCGATTATTCCTGGCCGTTTGCAGTGCATCGACGGGGCGCGTTGGCGTGGCGGAAAAAAAACAACGACGGCGATAACGCGGTAGACGTCGCGTCGCACGCGCGACACCCGGCGGTACATCGCGGGGGCGACGCATTAATCGCTCAGAAAGAAAGAAAATCATGCGTCTCCTGGCCGGCGCCGATACCGTTCCCGCACGCAGCATCACCGAGGATGTATCGCTGGACAGCGATGTTGGCTCGCGCGGATCCGAGAAGTGCGGCGGCAGCAGCAGCAGCAGCAGCAACGGCAGCAACAACGGGTGTAACAGCGGAATCCGCGACGGCGTCGGCTACGCGAGCGGTTACGACCGCGGCCAACGGTACAGCAACGGCAGCAACAGTAGCAATCACGGCTACGCGAGCGACGATTTCTGGGAATGTACGTCTTCTATCCGGCGGACGAGCTCCTGCGTATCTATGAAAATCCGATTCGGCGGTCCGTGCCATTGACTGTCAACGACGACGCAGCGGTAAACGTCGTTTACGAGGATATAAATCAGCAGCGTTATCAGCAGCAATCGCAGCAATCGCAGTCGCATCAGCAGCAGCGAATCGTCGTCACGAACGACGTCCGCAAGCGCAAGGAGAAAAAGCGAGAGACTAGTCAGACGGCGGCAAGCCGGAGGCAGCAGCAGATCGTGCGTAACGGCAACGGCGGCGACGCCGGTAAGAAGGAAGGACGACGAAACGAGGAGCAGCAGGCCAGGACTATGCAAAATAATCGTGCCACCGGCTCCGAAGAAGCCGCCAACCATCCCCTCAAGGACCTCACGCAGCCGAGTCTCAACGAGCCGCTCAAGCAGCACAATGGCGTCGCGCTCAAGCTCGTCCAGACGGGTAAGTGCATATGCGTTTCCGTGATTCCGCACGTGGTCGAGCGAAATCACGTTTAGCGAAACTAAATTCATCTAGCTCGATATGTGTTGTCATTTTTAAAGCGGAACTTAGAAACTCATCGATTAAAATACTAATCGGGATCTTGATCGAAACTTTTCTCAACGAGCTTTCTGTTCGTTCAAAATATCATTTCACATTTTTATATTTAATAATAAATCATACATGCGTTATCGAACGAGACGTGCATGGAGACTAGTGGAGTAAAGTAAAGGAAGGAACTGCGTATTTTATCGAGCTTCCAGCTTAGCGGAAAAGAAATATGTCTTATACAAACTTAATTTTCCGAGAACGACGCGACGCACGCACAAAGAATTGCGCTTCTTTCACATTTTCCCCGAGCGTATCTTTCCGCATTCTTTATTCCCTTTCCAGGAGACTAATATTCGCATAGCTAAGTTATCGTTGCGCATAATGGGTAGGAAATTTGTGAACTGAAAAATCGGTTGGCCAACGATGGCAACGATTCGGATTATCCATGTATTTAATATACGAAACCATATAGTCGTAAATCGTATAACTTCTTGTTGGCAGCTTCAAACTTCTACGTGAGTTAGCTGTTATAGAGTATTACGTGTCTCGACTTGGCAGAAGTTTAATAGCCGTCGAGCGAAGATGGTTTAGGTTAAATCGGTAAACAGTATACGCGGAGAGATGATATAATGGTCTTTCTCATTACACAGAAATAATATACATATGTGATTTCGATTGTTAAACAATATTAACTTACTTGTGCTGAGAATTGAAAGTCAGCACAGATATTTCTTACCCATCATTAAATATACTACAAATTGTTAAGTAACTTTTAAAGTCAATAATGATCAGTATATAGTGACTCAAAGTTTGATAAACTAGAAATCGATTTCACCTTTAACGAGAATGTCGAGAGAAATGATTTGTCATAACTTTTAATAACCAAATTAGAATCCTATTAATTTATAAGTCCCTCTCGAAGAAATTGAACAAAGAGTATAAAGTTTCGTTATCAATTTGTATTCTGTATAGTTGGCGAAAAGCAATTTACTCTCAATCACTCACAACATAAAAGCTATTAAATCCTCGACATTTTATTATGAGAATTCTTGTCTCTAGTTTAGTTAAGGAATCCGTCATTAGCGAGAGCAATGAAGTGCTCTATATAAAATGTTGAGAAAATAAAGTTTGTATGTGGGGACACCTTTTACTTAATGTACCGCTATATAGGAAACCCAAGATACACCCAAGTTGGGTCTGACGCGGGATTAATTAAAGTTACTTGTTCTCGTTACCTGCATCTTTCTGCGAATATGTCACCTAAACAATTCGTCATAGCTGACCTTTTTTATCCCCTCCTTCCAATCGGTGTGGTTCCACGGCTATGAAGGGATCAAGATTAATTAGCAGTTGGAAGTAGCGGAGGCTAAGTAGGGTTGGCGAGCCTATTACTCCACTGAACTCGTGGCTATCGGTCTTTGTCACTTGCTGTCCCACCTGACCTATCGACCCCGATCTCCCGAACTGACACTTTGTCATGGAAACTTATGGAACCCTCCCTCTCGTTCGGGCATAAAACCGCGATAAAATCAGATTGGGGCAAGTATCGCTGAACCGTGTGGAAATACGGTCGAAATCCGGCGAATCGCGCCGAGGGACTTATTCCTCTGATTTATGTACCAGTGATCGCGCGTAAGTCGCGAGCAAAAATACAGAATGTTATACTTTATCGAATGGTATAGAGACTGTGTCGGCCTGTAATACTCAATAAATATGTATCCTGTGATAAAAGACTTGCAAGGTTCCAAGTACCAAGACACGGACTGAAGATAAGAGTCAAAGGAATAAAAAATTCCAAGTAAAAGTGCATCTGCAAATCATTTATGTTTGCATTTGAAAAAAGAAAATAAAAGATGAACAAGTATACACACGCACACCATCTTGGTCATTTCTCCAATTCACGGTATTCATGATGTTTTGATAATGATATTATGATAATAAAGATGCCTCGTAAGAATGAATGGCAGGCTTCTGGTGCGCTAATGGCTATGTAAAGTATATTATTCTGTTGATCTGGACGCGAGATGCGGCCGTCTCGTTTCCAAACACATGTACGGTAGAGTGAGTCATTTGGTATTATCCCGTCGCGTCGTTCGACCGTACAAATTCGAATATCTCCGATGAACATTGCGCGTTCTCGAGGAAATTCCGCGAGCTCCGTTTCGCAGAAGCGCAACTCTGCACACAAGAGCTCGTTACCGCGGTATAAATAGATCTTCGCCTCGTAGCGGATTTTAGAGTACGTGTATGTGTAGCGACCTCTCTCTCTTTCTCTCTCCCCCCCCCTCTCTCTCGCTCTCTTTCGTCAAACGATCTCTCGAGGCTATCACGTGTGCTGACCTGGATGTTTATTCGGTTCATCGGCGCGGCCAAATATCGTTGCCGCCTGGTCTGGCAATCCGCGGACGGAAGCACGACGGATTCGATGAAATGACATTAATCGCCGCGTAAACAAAGACCGGTGCCATCGCGCTAATATAGCGACCGCTGTCGAATTCTGTTTTTAGCCGGCCGTTTAAAAATTAAAGGCTCTGCATCTCTACCCGAAATAGTGACCTATCTCCGGGGGCGACTGCAATTAAAAATAAGATCAATAAGGATAATTGTATTAGTGAGACTAGGTAAATGCGGACCGCGCGATATTTATCCAATAATATAATCGCTAATTATCAATTTTTACATAAAAAAAGGAATCTCTAATGTCCATGACATTTCTAACAATGTAGATTTAACTTTAATCTCGGTTTAGTTGATTTTTTATTTTTTTTCTAGTTTTGAGAATTAGAAAAAGATAAAAAGTAAGTTAAACCGAGATTATACAGTTAATCTGCATTGGTAAAAATGTATATTAATCATCTTCGTATGCTGAACAAGATGCGTGACAAAAATTTGAATAAATTTCAAGACGTCTAGTAGATAGGTATAGATACTCAATAATTATCGTTTTTAACGATTCCGAAGTATGACAAAGTGACTCATTAATTAATTAATATTTTATTAATTGCCAGATTTGCATTGAATTTATTCTCTTATTTATGATAGTATTTAATTGCCTTTTGTCTTTTCAAATGATGTCATTAAGGATCTTAACATCTGTACAAATGAATATCTCGATCATTATAAGATACTAGCTTAAGCTACACGGCGTTGCCCGGGCTTCTTATATCTATATAGATATAATAATTTATAAAATCAACTAACCTTTGTTAATTATTACGCAATGCTTTACTTATATAATAATACTTATATAACAACTAAACTTAAATTGTCACAAAGTGTCAAGGAGATAAAATCAAGGGAAGGAAGTGGAATGTCCAGGTTTCACACATGGTAGCCTACATTTTCCGCTGGGGTTTAGAGAGTAACTATGCAAAATTTGGTCTAGATCTCTGGTCAAAGGGTTTAGGAGTTAATAGAAAACATACAGACAGACATTCTAGTATATATATAGAATCCAACGTCACAATCATCCTAATTGAGCCTAAACAAGAAGACATAAAGAAGATAACTATAATAATATGCACAAACAGGGAAAATCCAGTCTTTCACAGTCCCAAACAGATTTCTATTTTCGATCGTCAGTTCAGTGTTCATGCAAATTTTAAGAGGACTGACAGAGACGTGATAGAGCGTTGCTCTAGAGCAAGTTTATAGCTCGCGTGACACCGGGCGATCGGGTTCGTCGAACCCGCGAGACTCAGGGTATCAAGGTTGCACCCTTGGAGTCACGAAGGTTATTACTCTTTGGCCTGCACCATCGGACGAGTCGATCGCCGGCCGGTTAGTCATAATACGGTTTGACCGAGCGGAATCCCACATCCCGCGCTTTCAAAGATGAGATCCCGGTCATCTTTTCCCTAATTGTCGTGTAACCGCGTACGCGCGGACATAATGGTACATCCAGAAAACGACGTGGGTCATATTTTAATAAAGGAAGAAGTCTGGTTGCTATGGTAACTGCGAAACGAACAGAGCACGCGGCCGGCCAGCCAGCCAGCGAGCCAGGCAGGCAGGCAGGCAGGCAGGATATTGATTCACCCCACCTGAATTCAGGTCAACCCCTGCAGACTAAACGCCGTTTCGCTGTATAACGCGGGCTCCTCCATTTCTATCGCGCTCGTCCCATCTCGCCTTTTTCTTTTATAATCAACGCCCCTTTCCCATGGAAGCGCGTGCTAAGCGCGTAACGTTTTGTTATTGGATACGGTTTCATCCAGGTAACTGGGTGTTTAAAAGCCTTTGCCCGCGTCCCTCGCCCGCTGCGCCACATCGCCCTCGCAGTGCGCGCTCTCGACCGAGAAAGTTTACGCTGAATCATTAAACAATATCGATCTGTCGCGCACATTCCTACCCACTGACAAATTAGCTCGAATTATTATAGTGATAGGCTTATTATTGTTGCATACTCTTTCTTTAGTTCTGACATCGACCAACAAACTTCATTTCTTTCAGGATTGTGTAGAGGGATGCAAAATTTCTTCTTATATATTGTTGAAACTTTACGTTTACACGCATACATATACTTACATACGTATATACACATATAGTAACTTTAGTAATGATTTTTCAAAAATTTGTTTTACAAAGGATTCGTATTCCTCTCTCTTTATGATGATAAAGATATATAATTGAAATAAAAAAATATTAGAGATATATAAAAAACTTGTTTCTTCATCGTTTATCAATTATAAATTTTTAAATATAATCGAAATATAATAAAATCGTTATGAATTCCATTACACATCGTCTTTTCTCTTTTGCATTTTATTCTCAATCATTCAATTTCGAGATCGTTATTTAATTATTTTCAATCAAGATCAATCTTTTTCAAGTCAAATCGAGTTTATATGAGTATCCATGGATATACATATATGTATATATCAGTCAAAACGCACAAGAAACAATTTCTA